GAGATGTTTTTCTTGAGGTTTGTTCAGAAGGCAGTGCTTTGGATCAATTTGCATTATAGTAATGTTATCGAACTTCTAAACATGTATATGTGTGTGGTGTGTGTGTGCACATATATCTATATCTATATCTATCTATCTATCTATCTATATATATATTATATATGCATGTATATATCATATTGTATAAAAGTATATGTATATATATACTGTATTGTGTATATATGTGTGTGTTATTTAGATATATATATATAATATAAAATATATACATATATATATATATATATATATATATATAATATATTATATATATATATTAATATATTATATATGTATTATATGTATAATCTGTATATGTACTTATCTTTTCTCTCCCTCCCCCTCTCTCTCCCTCTCCTCTCTCTTCTTCTCTCTCCTCTAGCTCTCTTTCTCTCCATCTCCTCTCTCCTGTCTCGCTCTCTCTCCTGTCTCGCCTCTCTCTCCTGTCTCGCTCTCTCCTTTCTCTCTCCCTCTTTCTCCCTCTCTACTCTTCCTCGCTCTTTCCTCTTCTCTCTCCACTCTATCTCTCCCCTCTTCTTCTCCTCTCCATCTATTAACTATATATATATTCTATAATATATATATATATATATATATATATATATATATATATATAATATATATATATATATCATATATATATATAATATAATCTATTTAATAGATAGATGTGGTGTGTGTGTGTGTGCCCGTGTGTGTGTATGTAATCCTAACAAGCTTTGTCTTTTACTGTAATCTGTGTATAATTGTGTATATACATGTGCGCGCACATAAAAAATAAGACACTTTTTGTGCAATAACGCCCTAAAGTATAAAGCAACCTCAGCAGAAACGTCAAGGTGACCGGTAATACTCCGCTCCGCCCACAGCACTCTCCATGCTCATCTTCAGGGAGGAGTTTTGTTTGCTCAAAGTATATAAGTAGATGGAATCGGTCTCAGTGCATCACACATTTCTATCATCACACACCATGGCATTTAAGGTAAGATGCCAGAGGAAAGACTCGCGCTTAAAAAGAAAAAAGTGAAGAGTGTCTTCTACTATGTGTTAGTCATCATAGTTACACTTCTTTTATTATATATGTCAGTGAACTTTTCATCGTAACATTCCTGATGTTGCAGGTATTTGCACTTGCCGCCCTTGTGGCCGTTGCCCTCGCCCGCCCTCAGAACGGCCTATGGCGTCCCCAACGCCTTCAGGACCTGCCAAGTACGACTTCAACTACGCCGTCAACGACCCTCCATCTGGCAACGACTTCGGCCATCAGGAGGCCAGAGATGGCCCTAACACTCAGGGTTCCTACTACGTCCCTCCTTCCCGACGGTCGTCTCCAGAAGGTCACCTACACACGTCAACGGCGATTCTGGTTACGTAGCCGATGTCACCTACGAGGGTGAGGCCTCCACACCACGCCCCTATACACCCGCCCCTCAGTATGGGTAGATAGTTTTTATTTTTGGTAGCCATATTGTAAAATCTATGTATATAAATGATTTAATAAACTAGCATATTTATGGCGTTCTTTGATATCTTTATATGGAGATTATTGGTATGTATGTGTTTATGTTTCTTTTGTATTGCACTTTGAACTAAAAAAGAAAAAAAATCTTTTGCTGGAAATATAAACAGTTCACAGGCTATGTAAGCATGGAAATATAAGGATAATAATAATACGGCATTGAAACTGCCAGGGAGGAGAGGTGGTAACAAATATATTAAGGCGTTCTTTGATATCTTTACAAGGATAACTCAAAAGTGTGATTAGTGGAAGTGAAGCAGAAACGAAATAATGGCATCGTTTAGAACTAAAGTACTACTTAACACTGTACTTCAAAACACTATCAGACCAATCTTTATCAAAGCCAAGGGCATTGAACAAGTTTGATGAAAGCATTATATTCTCAGCTAATTCCGGAGTCGGCCTAAAAGGAAACAAACCGCAGGCATTCAATCAAGTAAGAATTCAAGGAAGAACCATGCAGAAGATTCGGTATATGTATTTTGTTACAGTAGGACCATGACCCATGCGTGTTCTTGACAGTAACAAACTTCCTTTGTCTTCCTGTTTAAATCAAACTCTTTAGTTCTAGTTTCAGTTACGTGGACTGTCTTTTATATATAAAAATAAAAGTAATCTGCAAAAATCACTGAATACCTTAGCAGACGGTTTTCGATATTACAGGTAATTGCACTCGCTACTCTTGTAGCCGATGCCCTCAGAACGGCTATGGCATCCCAACGCCATCTTCAGGACCTGCCAAGTACGACGACCATCTGAGTCATCAGGAGGTCCGAGATGGCTCTAACACCCAGAGATCCTACTACGTCCTCCTTCCCGACGGTCGTCTGCAGAAGGTCGCCTACATCATCAACGGAGACTCCGGTTACGTGGCCGATGTCACCTACGAGGTGAGGACCAGTACCCCTCCACGCCGCGTCCGTATACACCCGCCTCTCAGTATGCGTAGATACAGATTGTTTTCGTGGCTAAGATATATATATATAATATGTATATATATATATATATATATATATATATATATATATATATATATATATATTATATATATATATATATATATATATATATATATATATTAAATAGAATATTGGTGTGTTCTTTAATATCTGCATATGGATAACTTAGGAAAGAGATTATTTGTATGAGCGTGTCTGTCGTTTTTTATCATAATGATAAAGGATAACATTGTTAATAATTAAGCGTTAAATTTATCTTAAAAATGATTTTTGTAGATTACTTTTGTTTTTTTATTTAAAAGACAGTCCACGCAAATGAAACTAGAACTAAAGAGCTTGATTTAAACAGGAAGACAAAGGAAGTTTGATAATTATGATTATAATAGTATGCACCATCAGAGATAAGAAATTACTAAATATCTAAATATAATATATCAAAAGGGGATTTTAAGATTGGTTGATTGTCTATAATTATCTGCCGACTCAGGTACTGAGACTAACCTCAGTAACCATCAAAATTAAATTATGGATTTGCTTTCACTAATTACTTGCAAGAGACTTATCCGACGAAAAAAATAATATAATGATAAAAAAATATGATAGAATATTATATAAATAACTGGTAATGCAATCCCTACCATTATCACTCTTATAATGGCAACCGTTGTCGATGTCGTTATAGTTACTGTTGTTATAGTTAATTTTGTTGTTATAGTTAATTATTAAGTTAATTATTGTTGTTATAGTTAATTGTTGTTATAGTAATTATTATTATTATTATTATGTTATAGTTAATTATTAATTATTGTTGTTATAGTTAATTATTAAGTTAATTATTGTTGTATAGTTAATTTTCTGTCAATACTGTACAAATATCAATACAGTTATCATCATTGATATTGTTTTTTTTTCTTTCTTTCTTTCTTTCTTTCTTGGAAATGTAATTGTCTAATGGTAAAATTATTATTATCTCATTATTATCCTCCTTGTAAGGCTTATACTTATTCTCTTGGTGGCGTTTGCACTGAATATCCATTCTAGCTGTAATTACATAATGATTATAAGTTTTATCGCCTGTGTTCTTTAAAATCTAATATTTATATCTTTGAGAATACTTTCACTTTGGCTGCCGTGGTACAATTGAATTTAATCTCAAAGATCTGTTTATTTTCCTCCAATGTAGATGTGTAAGATTTATATGAGATTTGAAATTACATGCTATCGATACATTAATATTTTGATATTAGCAAGAACATAATTGCATTTTTATATTTTATATTTTTATATTTATATTTGAGATCAAATGGAAATGTCAGATTTTGTTTTACCTTTTATACTGTAACCTCATCCAAGTATAGGAATAGGGATGGTCGCTAGTTTTATAAGACGCTTGTGTGGCGGGCTACTGTGCCTCACCCATGCAAGTGACATCATCCACATAATTGGAGTGCTTGTTGACAGCGTTGATTGCGTTTATAGTTTAGTTTAGAGTTTATCTGTGGAACACCACGAAACTGAGCAAACCAGGGTCTTTGTTTTATCGCTACCATAGGCTACGAAACGTTACCAGACGATGGGATGTTGAGGATTTAGTTGATGTTACACTCAGTTGGACCATAACTGGGTTTGGGAGCAGAGTAATCGTTATGGTTTTCTGAATTGGGATCAGGTTCTCATCCACCTAATCTGTTTTGTTTGTTTTCTTCCATGGCATGTTTTCTTGGGATGTAGCATTTTAGATGTTTTTGTTTTATTTTATTTTGTTCACTGAGATTTGAAGTAATCTGGCCTAAAGGCACACACTCAATATATATATATATATATATATATATATATATATATATATATATATATGTGTGTGTGTGTGTGTGTGTGTGTGTGTGTGTGTGTGTGTGTGTGTGTGTGTGTGTGTGTGTGTATGTATGTATATGTATGTATAGTATATAGTACACATGTGTGCGAGTGTGTGTGTGTGCACGTGTGCATTGATATGTATGTGTTTGTGTGTGCATTTATATACTGATATGTGTGTACATATATGTACGTATTTAAACATGAATTATTTAAGATATACATATGTGATGTATATAATATATATACATAGTATATAGTACATGTGTGTGTTTGTTATTGATATGTGTATATAATTATATACATATATATGTATGTAAATATGAAGTTACGGATAGATATGTATATTACAAATCTAAATATATGTGTATACATACGTAAGTATGTATATATACAGTGTGTGTGTGTGTGTGCATATATGCATCTAACCCTATAAACTATTAGTTAGTATGTGTGTGAAATCACCGAAGTATATATTTCTTAAAAGTTCAAAATTACGAAGTAGAAAATGTGGTTACAATATCAAGGTGAATAGGTCTCATCGCTCCACCCACAGCTCTTCATGCTCATCATCAGGGAGGAGCTTAACTAGCTCTAACTATATAAACAGACTGGATCTCTCGTTGCGTCAGATCACCGTCACACACCATGGGATTTAAGGTGAGATGTGAGATGAGTGTAAAGTCATTTTAAGTAAGTCAAGAATACGCCGTCTACTTGAAGCTCAAACGAATGACATTGATAGATCCTATACTTTTATTGCTTATCAAGTATTTGTGATTTTTCGTACCTTTAAAATGGATAAAACAATCCCGATATTGTAGGTAATTGCACTCGCCGCCCTTGTGGTTGTCGCCCTCGCTCGCCCTGAGAACATACCGCCCTATGGTTATGGCGGAACAACGCCCTCTTCAGGACCTGCCAAGTACGACTTCAACTACGCCGTCAACGACCCACCATCTGGCAACGACTTCGGTCATCAAGAGGCCCGAGATGGCCCCAACACTCAGGGTTCCTACTACGTCCTCCTTCCCGACGGTCGTCTTCAGAAGGTCACCTACACTGTCAACGGAGACTCCGGTTACGTGGCCGATGTCACCTACGAGGGTGAGGCCCAGTACCCCACCGCGCCACCGCGCCCCTATACACCCGCCCCTTATCATGCGTAGGTACTCTTTGTATAGCTAAACACATTTTGTAATCTGTGGATAATTTAATAAAGTTGCACATCGAAGACGTTCTCTGATATTTTACAATGGATGACGTAGAAAAGTGACTTAGTATGTATGTGTGAAGATTTTATGTTCAGTATCAAACTCTTCATTCTAAATAATAATAATAACTATAATACTTTCATTGAAGATAGAATCGAAACTATCATGCAGTCCACATTTTTCATGGAAATCATATAGGGGACTTTAAGAAGTCGGTATTTAGACCAGTATCAATTAATAACATCAGTGTCAACCTGGATAGCCTGGGAACCCTTGAAATGTGAGATTTGCTGTCGCTAATTCCAGTAAGAGACCATCCTTGAGCCTTGATTATACTTATATAATGTTTTATAAGTTTTATCACTTCTTATGTGTTCGTTTAAATCAAACTATCCATCTTTAGTTGCGTGAACTTTAAATACATATAAAAGTTTTGACATTACATGTCATTGACAAACATTACTATTTTAATATTGTCTAGTAAATCATCTAAATCGCATTTTTTTTTTTTTTTTTTTTTTTTTTACGTAATGGACACCTCGCAGTGATAATGGAGATAATAGGCACATTGCTAGTCAACAGTAACAACAACAGGAAGAACAATATCAATCAGAATTTATGAAAAATGAGAGCAGCAGCAATAAAGACAACGTCGTCCACAGACAATAATAACCCTAATAAAAATAATACTGATGTTATTGATGGTAATGCCGATGAATATTTTCATTGATACATTTTGTTATATTCTATCAGCATCGGCTAAAGGATTGTGTCTAAATGCAAGTAATTGGTGACAGCAAATACATTTCAAGGGGTTCCGTTAAACTATACAAGGTTGCACTCTGCTGTCCATATTTGACATTGTTTTCAATACCGGATTCTTAAATTCTCCTTTGAATACCTTTATGCAGTATGCCTTGCGCCGAGCTACCCTCCCATTTCAAAGTTTTTTTTTTTTTTTTTTTTTTTTGTTTTTTGCCTGTTTTGTTTGAACAAAATGTGTTCTGTACTTTCTTTAATTTCCTGGGAATTCTCGTTTCAGTCACGTGAACTCTGTCAATCAAAGACCAAAAGTATCCGACAAATGTCACTTTTCAGAATGCGCGGAGGTTCATGATCATGCTATTACATAACATGCATGGAAACAGTTATTTACATGATTCTCTCCGATTTTATTATTATTATTATTAACTATACCTGTTTCGTTTCCCTTTAAGTTGACTTTCAAAACTGACTGAGTAGATGATGCTTTCATCAACCTTGTTCTTGGTTTCTGCATTTGTTAATCATTGTGAACTGCACGAAAGTTTGATTTATGTTTACTGTGAAAGTATTATTTTCAAAGAGTTCGATTCTAAACAAATACAAATATGCACACACAAACATGCACTTTTTTCCCCTATAAATATTAGAAACGCATCTATGTGCTAGTTTATTAGACTATTTATACATAAATTATACAATGTGGTTGCCATAACAAAAGGTATCTACGCATACTGAGGGGCGGGTGTATAGGGGCGCGGTGGCGCGGTGGGGTACTGGGCCTCACCCTCGTAGGTGACATCGGCCACGTAACCAGAGTCGCCGTTGACGGTGTAGGTGACCCTCTGGAGACGACCGTCGGGAAGGAGGACGTAGTAGGAACCCTGAGTGTTAGGGCCATCTCGGGCCTCCTGATGACCGAAGTCGTTGCCAGATGGTGGGTCGTTGACGGCGTAGTTGAAGTCGTACTTGGCAGGTCCTGAAGAGGGCGTTGGGACGCCATAGCCGTTCTGAGGGCGGGCGAGGGCAACGGCCACAAGGGCGGCGAGTGCAATTACCTGCAACATCGACAATATTATAACAGAGTAAAGCGATGCAATTTAGAAGAATAGGAATGACTATGGCGTAAGCAAAAGGCACTTTCTTCACACGCGAGTTTGTCCTCTGTCATCTCACCTTAAATGCCATGGTGTGTGATGATAGAATGACTGATGCAGTAAGACCGATTCCATCTGTTTATATAGTTGGAACAAGCTTAGCTCCTCCCTGAAGATAAGCATGGAGAGTGCTGTAGGCGGAATATTACCGGTCACCTTGATATTTCAAAATCAGTGGCTTATTAGATAGGCCTTTACCACACAAATAATAAACTTACTTCATATAAATGGGTGTGTATATTTATATATATACATATATGATATATCTCATCCGCCTAATCTGTTTGTTTTTGTTTTTGTTTTTTTTTTCATGGCATGTTTTCTCGGGATGTAGCATTTTATGTTTTTGTTTTATTTTGTTTATATATGCATATGTATATGTATAAATATATATATATATATATAATGTATATATATTGCATAGTATATAGCACATAAATATGCGAGTGTGTGTGTATGCACTTGTGCATTGATATGTGTGTGTATGTTTGTGTGCATTTTTATATTGATGTGTGTATATATATATGTACGTATGTAAACATGAATTATATAAGATATATATATGTGGTATATATATATATATATATATATATATATATATATATAATATATATATATAAACATAAAAATATAGTATATGTGGTGTGAACTTGTGTATTGATATGTGTGTGTATATTTATGCATATATTATATGTATGTAAATATGAATTTACGTATAGGTATGTATATTACAAATATAAATATGTGTATACATATGTATATTGTATATATACAGTTGTGTGTGTGTGTGTGTGTATGCATCTAAGCCTATTAGTTTGTATTTCTTACAAGTTCAAAATTACGAAGTAAAAATGTGGTCACAAATATCAAGTGAATGGGACTCATCGCTCCACCCACAGCTCTTCATGCTCATCATCAGGGAGGAGCTTAACTAGCTCTAACTATATAAACAGACTGGATCTCTCGTTGCGTCAGATCACCGTCACACACCATGGGATTTAAGGTGAGATGTGAGATGAGTGTACATGGTAAAGTCATTTTAAGTAAGTCAAGAACACGCCTTTTACTTGAGGCTCAAACGAATGACATTGATAGATCTTATACTTTTATTGCTTATCAAGTATTTGTGACTTTTTTTCGTAGCTTTAAAATGGATAAAACAATCCCGATATTGTAGGTAATTGCACTCGCCGCCCTTGTGGTTGTCGCCCTCGCTCGCCCTGAGAACATACCGCCCTATGGTTATGGCGGAACAACGCCCTCTTCAGGACCTGCCAAGTACGACTTCAACTACGCCGTCAACGACCCACCATCTGGCAACGACTTCGGTCATCAGGAGGCCCGAGATGGCCCCAACACTCAGGGTTCCTACTACGTCCTCCTTCCCGACGGTCGTCTTCAGAGGTCACCTACACTGTCAACGGAGACTCCGGTTACGTGGCCGATGTCACCTACGAGGGTGAGGCCCAGTACCCCACCGCGCCACCGCGCCCTATACACCCGCCCCTTATCATGCGTAGGTACTCTTTGTATAGCTAAACACATTTTGTAATCTGTGGATAATTTAATAAAGTTGCACATCGAAGGCGTTCTCTGATATTTTACTATGGATGACGTAGAAAAATGACTATTAGTGTGTGTGAAGCTTTTATGCTTAGTATCAAACTCTTCATTCTAAATATTGATAATAATGATAATACTTTCATTGAAGATGGAATCGAAACTTTCATGCAGTCCACATTTTTCATGGAAATCATATAGGGGACTTTAAGAAGTCGGTATTTAGACCAGTATCAATTAATAACATCAGTGTCAACCTGGATAGCCTGGGAACCCTTGAAATGTGAGATTTGCTGTCGCTAATTCCAGTAAGAGACCATCCTTGAGCCGACGAAAAAAGGTTTATTTTGTAGTTCAACAATGTTGAAAATGCTGATGAAATATAATAGAATGCAACAATAATCCTATAATTACCCAGTGGTAATACTACCATTCCCTTCAGCTGTAAAAGTACCTATATTTTTTTCGTAATTGATATTCTTTTTTATCCTTGTTATTATTGTCTGTTAGTAATGGGACTAATACCTTCTCCCTTATCATCAATATGATGTGTCCATTAACTTACACCAGGTTGCTTAGCTGTCACTATCCTTTCTATCCATACTTATATAATGTTTTATGTTTTATCACTTATGTGTTCGTTTAAATCAAACTATCCATTTTTAGTTGCGTAAACTTTAAATGCATATAAAAGTTTTGACATTACATCATTTTCTTTTTTAATATTGGTAAATAATCTAATGGTAATGGATCACAGTGATGATGGTGATAATGGAGATAATAGGCATATTGCTAGTCAACAGTAACAACAACAGGAAGTACAATATCAATCAGAATTTATGAAAAATGACAGCAGCAGCAATAAAGACAACGATGTCGACAATAATAACCCTAAAAAAAATAATACTGATGTCATTGATGGTAATACCGATGACGAATATTTTCATTGATACATTTTGTTATATTCTATCAGCATCGGCTAAAGGATTGTGTGTTTTAATGCAAGTAATTGGTGACAGCAAATACATTTCAAGGGGTTCCGTTAAACTATACAAGGTTGTACTCTGCTGTCCATAATTGACATTGGTTTCAATACCGGATTCTTAAATTCTCCTTTGAATACCTTTATGCAGTATGCCTTGCGCCGAGCTACCCTCACATTTCAAAGTTTTTTTACCTGTTGTGTTTGAACAATATTTGTTCACTTTTTTACTTTCCTGGGAATTCTGGTTTCAGTCACGTGAACTCTGTCAATCAAAGACCAAAAGTATCCGACAAATGTCACTTTTCAGAATGCGCGGAGGTTCATGATCATGCTATTACATAACATGCATGGAACCTGAGTTATTTACATGATTCTCTCCGATTTTATTATTATTATTAACTATGCCTGTTTCGTTTCCCTTTAGGTTAACTTTCAAAACTGGGAGTAAATGATGCTTTCATCAACCTTGTTCTTGGTTCTTGCCTTTGTTAAGCATTGTGAACTGCAGAAAGTTTGATTTATGTTTACTGTGAAAGTATTATTTTCAAAGA